AGTCTGGGGAACTGGCTAGTGATAAATTTTATTTTATGTATTAAATTAAATTATAATTAGCATTTAGCATTTGCATTAACAGCAATAATTTACGATTAATTTCTACTGTATTATAGATTATTAATAATTTTAACATTACAGTGAGTTTAAATGTTAATTATAATTTTGCGACAACTTTATGGTTATATTAGTTTCACAGTTATAAACTATTAGATAAATATTTTGATGAATATTTCACCGAGTATATAACATAAAAGCAAATAATATTATAATAATATTTTTAAAAATATTATTTATTATTTTAGTAATTATTTTTAAAATTAATTCTAAAATATTTATATATTTAATATATTTAATAAATTCACAATATTTTAAAAACATTAACATAATATAACTACTCTTATCGCAACATGCTACTCCACTGGTACCATGTATTTTTATGAAAATGTTACTTGATCATTATTTTATTATTAAAATTAACATTCAAAACAATTATAAATCTCATTGAACGTATTAATAGGAATATAAATATGTATTTAAAAACATTTAATTTTTATATTCAATATTATATTTTGAGTTCAAGTACTGGACATAATTTTGTGACAATTTTCTAGTTATATTAATTTCCCAAATGTGAATACTTTCATAAATATCTTGCTCAATATTTGAGCAAGAATATAACATAAATGCAAATACTAGTACAATTATTATTAATATGCAAAACATTACAGCAAATATAATTAACATGATATAATTTGTATCATAATATAACTTATACATGAATAACACATTAAACATATTAAATATTATCATGTTTATTTCAATAAAATACTTAACTTTGACAATAATTGAAAATAATGTATTTTGTTTAAAATAATTTAAACACTCCTTAATTTTAAACAAATAGTTTTTATCCGGGGTCTTAGTTATAGTATTTATTTTTAAATACATTTTTCGCAAAATATTTATGTATTTAATATATAACTCACAATATATTATATACATTAACAAAATATAGCCACTAGTATAGCAACACAGTATACATGTGCTACAATGCAGTTTAATATGAAAATAAGTTTGGATCATAATTTTATTATCTAGGTGATCACTTAATACAATTATAAATCTCATTGAAGATATTAATAAATACATTATTAAATAAACATACACAATTTTATTATTATATTTGATATTGTATTTCACATAATATTCATTCAATTCTTGATTCAATTCACGAAATAATTTTGAATTATATTTAATATACAAATACGAGACCAAACATGTTATGTATTGTATAACACATAACAACTTACACATTATCTGCACATAATTATCATCAGGGCGAAATGACATTAAAATGTATATTAATATAGATGTATATAATGTCACAAATACCCCGCTAAATATTTGCCGTATAGTCTTATTTTCAATGTGAATACCATATATTTTTATCAATAATCCAAACATGTTATATAGTTTTTGTTAGAATATTCTATTTAACATGTAATTTTGAAATAAATTTAAATTTAGTATACAAGCTTTATAATTAAAATATTTAATTAATATATATATATAACTTATATCTAAATCTCATGAGATGTGAATTCACAATTTTACGATAATTGTCATACAAGTAGCCATCAACTACTGATACACACTCATTACATAGTAGTTAATAGTAGCAGGTATAACATACTTTTAACAGAATATTCTTTAAGAATTATTAACACTTAAAAGGTTTCCAATTATTTAATGTAAACATTTTTGAGCATAATATTTGCTTTACTGAATGCAATACAAACAAAGTACAGAATAGGTTCATAGCAACTAACATTGAACTGAATTTTTCATACAATAAATCCTTTTATATAAAAGCTATTTAAAAAATAGGATATAATTCATGTATAAATTACTTTTTCAAAGAATTTCAAAATTCTATTGAATTTAATTTTAAATACAGTGAACAGAATAAACTTCGATACCATATATTTTTATATGGGTTTGTATATTTTTATTTGTTATACAATATACAGTATATGTTTGATCTCTTATTTGTATATTAAATACATTTCAAAATTATTTCGAGAATTGAATCAAAATTTGAATGATTATTATTATGTGAAATACAAAGTACAATAATGCATATAATAAAAAATAAAATAATAAGTTTTGCTTATTTATTGATATTTCTATTAATATGTTCAACGAGATTTTATAATTGTTTTGAGTGATAATTTAAAATACAATATAAAAATAATGATCAAATATATTTAACAAATGATTAAACATTATTACTTACTTAATATAAATAAAATTAAATACTTTCATAAATAACCTTTTATAAAATAAATTAATTTGTATAAAAGTTATTTAAAAGTTTATATTATGTAACTGTATGTATTTTATAAATGTATAAATAATATTTTTGGAGAATTCCAAAATACATATACGCTTATATTTATAAACAACTTAGTCTGTTCATACTTTAAATGATTGATTTGTTTTTCTCATATTTATAATACTGTAAACTAAATTGAATTGAATCGAAATAATGCAATAAAATATTTATTAAAAGTTGGATCAACAATACAATTTAGAATACGTATTAAAAATGGTTAATTACCAAAAATAATAATATAGTTGAAGGTGCTTTAACAAAAGAAAAATACTTAAATCCTAACATGGACATTTTAGTTTTAAAAATTTCAAAATTTAAATTAGCTAAGCGCAAATATTAATTTTATAACAATGTTGTTTATAGTAATTTATAGTGGTGCCTGGTGAAGTAGAACCATGTCCATCAGTAGCAACTGGATGTTTTTGGATCTGAGCCCACTCGTAGGTAAATTTCCAATGGCTGAGTAGAGTCTGGGGAACTCCATCTGCATAAATCCTTTTACCTAAAATTTTTAATAATATAATTTAATTTATTATTTGATTAATTAATAAAATAAAAATTATACAACTAATTAACATGCAAGATTAATATTATAATTTTGTTTAAATAAAACGAGCAGAACATTTAAGCTGCAATAAAAACCTACCATGGCTTAATTATAAATTATGCCGTCATCAATTTAAGATTATTGATTATTATACATGTTACTAAAATAAACAAGCTCACTAACCATTACCAGTTTACTCACTATACACTAATTTCGGAATTGTCCTGGTCAAACCGGGACGTCTGGTCACTCTAATAATATGACTAAAAATCATACCTTTTGATGGAAAGCCACATAAAATGGATGTGCAGTCTTCCCCATAACGTAGTCCAGTGCCCCATATATGGTCTTCTCCTCGTCCTTCAACCTATTGATCAGATTGTCTTCAGTGCCGGTCATCGTAAACCGTTTGCCGCTCCTTAAAAGGGCCAACCGTTTGGACAAATGGCTATAACCGTTCACTTCGCCCATAAACTTCTGGACGACGGTGTGGTGCTCGAGGAAGTTGGCAGCGGTATCCACTGGCATGGCTTTGAACTGGCTATACACCCATGGTAGCATTTGCCTCACAAACGCGAATATATCCTCGTAGAACATGATGGGCACCGTTAGCCCCTGGGGCAGGTACTCGGCCTCGGCTTTGCGCATAATGTCAGCGAT